TTTTACCTAAATCCGTATTCAAGTACTGTTAATATAATATGAACATTATTTTATCTGCACTCGTACTAAGTGGGTTTGAATTAGCAGATAGAATTAGTGCAGGTAGTCAGTCTGTGAAGGTTGCAGGGATCGCTATAACCAAGTAATTTCTTTACCCAAGAATCTATCACTTATCAAGCCCTCCAAGGTGTCAGGTACTCTTCTAAGCATTTTATATGTATTGACTCATTGAATCCTTATGACAATTTAATGAAAATACTGAGATACAGAAAGGCAGTTTTCCCATGAAGTCAGATGTAGGGATTCTGGATCCAGAGTCAGTGTTCTTAAACACTGCACAGTGCCACATCTGCATTTAAAGGGTAATTGTTCTAGGTTGTTGCAGCATGAAGTATGTGGATATTAAGGCTCTAACTGTAGTTCCTATTTCTTTTACATTCTCTGCTATCACTGCAAATTCTTATCTCGTTCCACATTTATTGAGCATCTCCTATGATGGTACTTCAAACAGTTTGTGGAAAAATAGATTTAAAAGATACTGTGAATCTTTCCATGAACTTTTTGAAGTACCCTCATGTGTAAGGATATAAGGATGAGTTGCCAGTTTCTAGGAATAAATTCTGTTACCGGGGAAGAAAGGTAAACTGGAGAAGAAATGTTAACAGTGAATTCAGAGGTGAGAGATTAATGTCAGGTTAGAATGAAAGTTGCTGAAGTGTTGTGGGGATCAGCCTGGACAGGATCATGATACACCTTGCTGAAAGTCCTGGACTTTTGCAGTAGGCCCAAGTGAGCTACTGAAACTTGGAGTGTGTGTAGGTACAAAACGATCAAAGTTGCAATTACATTTTCATGGGGAGGTCAGACATTGGATAGTAATTACAGGTGTCAAGAGAGCTACACTGGAAGGTAGAGCTTGCAGTGGTGGAACCAAGGGTAGCTTCAATAAAAATATAATTTAAATGAAAATGATGTTTGTTAGGCAAATGTAGCTTCGAGATAAGTTTCCTAGGCTGCTCCTGGTTCTCCAACTCCCCTCCCGCATTCAAAACATCACCACCCTAGAGCCTTGTCTATATGGAAGTTCTGGATCTTCCACTGGTATAGGGCTATGAGACCATAGAAAGGAAGGCATAATCTGGCAAGTGGGAGCTTGAGGAAAGCTTCCCAGAAGTGACTTCAGCTGTGTGTTGAAAGCTGAATAGGCATTGGCTAAGGCAAAATTTGGAGGGAGGCAGGCAGAGACAATATAGGCCAAGAACTACCTGAAGCAGCAAAGAATGAAAGAATTGAGAGAATCCAACATGACAGGGTGGTGGGGAGCAAAGCCAACTAGTGTGAGATGGTGAGAGATGGTGCAGGCCATAACAGGCCACATTAAGAACACAGAATTTTATCTTAAGAGAAATAGGAAATGGCTGTTAAGCATAATCAAATTTTTTGATTTAAAATTATCTTGGCAATGGACTGGAGACTTCTGATTTACACAATATCAAAGATTTTAAAAAAGTTGACCCCTGAAAACACTTGGAAATGTGGGGTAAAATGCAATAAATTTAAGGACATAGCTGAGTTTACAAGAAAGAAAGGACAATCTCCAAGTGACACAACTAACAAGAAACTAAAAACAGGACATCGACACATGTACTGATTCTTCCTTTGGTCACCCCAGGAAAGTTGCTATCTCTAATTAAAGGGCTTAGGTTTTAATATGCATGTGGGTCAAGTGAAACAGAGTATTAACATCCCCCTGGCCCCTCCACACACATCATAAAGAATCTAAAAGCTTTGTAAACATTAGTGAAAGGGCCGAGCCCCTGGCGCACTCGGGAGAGTGCAGCGCTGGGAGTGCAGCAGTGCTCCCGCCGCGGGTTCGGATCCTATATAGGGATGACCGGTGCACTCACAGCACTTACTGGCTGAGCGCAGTGCGGCCGGTCTCAAAAAGGACAAACAAACA